GGAATCGAACCTTGACCTCCTAGTTCATAAGTCAACACTAACCATTGAGCCATGCGGCTGGATGAGAGTAAATCTTAAAAGTTTCATCACAAGAAAAAAACCCCTCTATAACTATATATGGTGATGGATGTTAGCTAGACTTATGGAATTCATTTCACAATATATACAAATATCAAATCATTGTGTTGTACTATTTACCTGAAACTAATATGTTATGTCAATTCTACCTTGACATCAAGGTATAAATAAATCAAGAAGTAGCCTATATTCTGACATGGAATTCGAATTTACAAGGACAATTAAAATGTCAGCTCTGGTTACAAACCTGGGGTGGAGGGGAGGGGGGGGATCCGGATACAGGGCAGTACTCGCCAAATGTGTGCAAAATGAGCAGGAAAAGAACATTTTTTTCCTATTTGAGAAAACAAACTGAGGTCAGAGGATGTTGGCCAGAGGAAGTGGTTGGGGGAAAAGTCCCATGAGGCCTTGAGGCATGGATCTCCTGGCAGCAGCCCCAGGCGACTGAACAAAAACCTATAAAACTTAAGAGCACGTCTACTAGAATGGCTCTGCATAAGTTATCCCAAACAATTTGTCTCTCCTTTGCAAGATATTTGCAAGAGGTGGTCTGGTCATCTTAGTATAGGATGTATTTCCTCCTCATGTGACATTGACTTTAAAATGATTATCTGAGCAACCAGATCCAGTGGGAAAGGAAGTGGGGAAGAATGTCAAGAGGAAGAGAGTTCTGGAATTGTTCGTACTTTGCAGTGACCACCAACATTTTTGTCTTTGTTTTTGTTTTGTTTTGTTTGTTTCTTTCATTGTTTTATGGACATTACTCAGGAAACAGCTTTGAAGAAAAGCACAAATAAGGATAATAGGTATTAAAAATAGTATGTATGTAATAGTTCCCACATGGAATCTAACCATGACCAATGGCATGAAAACTCAACTTTTGGAAAAACTCAAGCTCCAAAATACATATTGAGAGTCTTAGGGTGTAAGTGAGCTTTAGCCCATTGGCATGGAATTGGCAATGTATGAGGTGTAAATGGTTGAGAGGTTTCGTCAAAGCAGGTCTTTGTTTATAAGTTTAAATTTAGCAATTTTTTTTCATGCTAGTCACTGAAAATGATGCTGAAGCTAAATTTAAAGACTCTCGGCCGAGACCGGTTTGGCTCAATGGATAGAGCGTTGGCTTGGGGACTGAAGGGTCCCGGGTTCGATTCCGGTCAAGGGCATGTACCTTGGTTGCGGGCATATCCCCAGTAGGGGGTGTGCAAGAGGCAGCTGATCGATGCCTCTCTCTCATCGATGTTTCTAGCTCTCTATCTCTCTCCCTTCCTCTCTGTACAAAAATCAATAAAATATATTTAAAAAAATAAATAAATAAATAAATTCAAAGACTCTAAATTGCCCAGTCTGCATAGCTCAGTGGTTGAGCGTTGACCTATGGACCAGAAGATCACAGTTTGATTCCAGGTCAGGGCACATGCCCAGGTTGCAGGCTCGATTCCCAGGATGGGGTGTGTGCAGGAAGCAGCCAATGAATGATTACCTCTCATCATTGATGTTTCTATCTCTTCCTCCCTCTGCCTCTCTAAAATCAATTAAAATATATTAAAACAGCCCTAGCTGGTTTGGCTTAGTGGATACAGCGTCTGCCTACAGATTGAAGGGTCCCAGATTTGATTCCAGTCAAGGACATATGACCAGGATGTGGGCTCGATCTCCAGTACAGGGCGTGCAGCAGGCAGCTGATCAATGGTTCTCCTTCGTCACTGATGTTTCTATCTCTCTCTCCCTCTCCCTTCCTCTCTGATATTAATAAAAATTTTACATATATAATATATACAGCAACAAAAACCAAAGATTCTAAGTAGCTCTTCCATGGCTATCTCCCCTTAATCAATCCCCTTACCCTGGGTCATTGTTGCCCATGACATTGTGAAGCCCGGGACCCAAGCTCTCCTTTCCCCAGCCTGTGCAGATGCTCAGTCCTTTCTAGAAGGAAGTCTGACGGGTTGCTCTGTCTTAAGGCTTTGCCTCATCTGACCAGAGAACGCCAAGCTGACAGCAGGAAAAGCTGAAAACCAACTCAAATCAGAAGATACCCAAGGCAGATTTGTCAAACCTCCCTGAGAGATGGAGCTAGAGCCCTGCAGAGGGGAGAGGTTTTCACTCTAGAAATGTTCACCAGTGGGACTGGACTCTAGAAGAAGGACACTAAACGCAGTCAAGGTGATGTCACGTGCTGGCCCTGCCTCTTGTTGGGACCTCGGACTGTCAGTTAGGCTCATTCCCTGTAACAGGCAATGGAAAGCTCTCTGAAAATCTCTCATAGCCTGACACCTACCTGGGGTTGAAGCATACACACAATGAAAAAGCAAAACAAAAACCCCAGGCCTATGTGCATCCATTACCTATTGCCACACATAATGCTGCATATCAAATCCCCTCCAAAACTCAGAGGCTTATAAACCAACTACTTAGTATTGCTCATGCATCTCTAAGACAGTGGTTCTCAAGCTTTCTAATGCCGCGACCCTTTAATACAGCTCCTCATGTTGTGGTGACCCCCAACCATAAAAGTATTTTCGTTGCTACTTCATAACTGTCATTTTGCTACTGTTATGAATCGTGATGTAAATATCTGTGTTTTCCCTGGTCTTAGGCGAACCTGCTGGCGGTTTTCAACCTGTGGTAGTGGCATTAGAAAGGTTGAGAACCACTGGTATAAAGACTAGCTGGCTGCTTGCAACTGGCTACCCTTAGCCTTAACCTTGAGGCATTTACAGTTTTAGCTCTGGCTTTCTTTCCTTTCTTTCTTTGTTTCCTTTCTTCCCTCCCTCCCTCCCTCCCTCCCTCCTCCCTCCCTCCCTCCCTCCCTCCCTTCCTTCCTTCCTTCCCTCCCTCCATCCTTTTCTTTACCCCCCCTTTGTCCGTTCTCTTCTCCGTCCTGTCCTTCCTTCCTTCCTTCCTTCCTTCCTGCTTACCTCCTTCTTCCTTCCTTCCCTCCCCTCCCTCCCTCTCCCTCCCTCCCTCCCTCCCCTCCCTTCCCTCCATTCCCTTCCCCTTTTCCTTTCCTTTCCTTCCCTTCCTTCCTCCATTCCTTCCTTCCCTTCCTTCCTTCCTTCCTTCCTTCCTCGATCCCTTGCGTCCTCCTTCCTTTCTTTCTTCATTCATCATTCCTTCCTTCCTGCCATCATTTTCCATCATTTCTTTCCTTTGTTCCATTCCTTCCTTCCTTCCTTCGCTCCCTCCCTCCTTCCCTCCCATCCATCACTGCTCCCTTTCTTTTTTCCTTCCTTCCTCCCTTTCATCCATCCATCCTTCCTTTATATAAGATTTTTTCTTTTAAAAATATGTTTTTCTTGATTTTAGAGATAAAGGAAGAGAGAGAAATATTAGTGATGACAAAGAATCATGGATTGGCTGCCTTCTGCATGCCCCACACTGGGGATCCAGCTCACAACCCAGGCATGTGCCCTTGACAAGAATAGAAACCGGGACCTTCAGTCCCCAGGCCAATGCTCTATCCACTGAGCCACACCATCCAGGGCAATACTTCAGCTCTTGAAGACCTGCTTCCTGACTCTGGCCCTTTAAGAAGACTATTGTCACAGGCCTGCAGACCAGCCCTGGGTGCCATGGAAACATGAGAATGTTTGGTTTCATTATCTCTGTTACTGCTTGGCAGTGGTCACCATTTGTACCTCTGAGACGTACTCCTCCTGCCTTTTTGTATTGCTTGGGTAACGATTGTGCTTTATTTCCCCCCTGGTTAAGAAAGTCCTGAAATTTGTTGGGGGTGGGGGTGGGGGTGGAGGTGTCACTTTATTTAATCATTTTATTTGCTCTGTGAACAGGTTAACTGCCATCAGTGGTTTTACAGGAGAGATGACCCCTAGCCACCGTCCTGCCTTCCTTCCTTCTTTTCTTCCCACCTGCTCTCTTCCATCCCTCCCTCCCTCCCTTCCTCCCTCCTTCCCTCCCTCCCTTCCTCCCTCCCTCCCTTCTCTCCTTCATTCCTTTCTAACTTCTTACCTTCCTTCCCTCCTTCCCTCCTTCCCTCCCTCCTTCCTTCCTTCCTTCCTTCCTTCCTTCCTTCCTTCCTTCCTTTCCTTCCTTCCTTCCCCCTTTTGTCTTTCCTTCCATCTTTTTTTCTTCTTTCCATCCATCCTTCCATTCTTCCTTCCTACCTTATTCTTCCTTTCTTTGTTTCTTATTTCCTTCCTTCCTGCCATCTTCTTTCTTCTCTTCGTTCTTTCTTTCTTTCCTTCTTTCTTCCTTACCCCTTCCTTCCTTTCCTTTCTTCCTTCCTTCACCTTCCTCCCGTACCTTCCTTTGTTTCTTCCGTTCGTTTCTTTCTTCCTACCACCTATACCTTTATCCGTCCTTCCTTCCCTTTCTTCCTTCCTTTCATACTTCCTTCCTTCCTTTCTTCCTTCTCCCATTCTTCCTTCTTGCCATCTTTCTAACCTCCCTTTCATCCTTCCATCTTTCTCTTCTTCCTTCCTTCCTTCCTTCCTTCCTTCCTTCCTTCCTTCCTTCCTTCCTTCCTTCCTTCCTTTCCTGTCCATCCTTTCTTCCTTCCTTCTTTTCTTCTATTCATCATTCCTTCCTTCCATCCATTCATCCAACATTCCTTTCTTTTTTTTTCTATTCTTTCTTCCATCTCCCCTTCCTTCCTTTCAACCATAATTCTTTCCTTTATTCCTTCCTTACTTCCTCCCATTCATCACTGCTTTCCCCTTCCCTTCCCTTCCCTTCCCTTCCCTTCCCTTCCCTTCCCTTCCCTTCCCTTCCCTTCCTTCCCTTCCCTTTCTCCCCTCCCCTCCCCTCCCCTTCCCTCCCTTTCCCTTCCCTTCCCTTCCTCCCTTCCTTCCTTTCATATAAGATTTGACTTGTAAAAAATATGTTTTTATTGATTTTAGAGTGAGATGAAGAGAGAGAAACATCAGTAATGAGAGATAATCATGGACTGGCTGCCTCCTGCATGCTTCACACTGGGGATCAAGCGTACATCGGGGGCATGTGCCCTGATCAGGAATCGAACCCTGACTTCTTAGTTTTTAGGTCGACGCTCAATCACGCCTGCTGGGCTGTAGCTGATCTTAATTGAGTCTTTCAACAAATGTCCAGAAATGGAACTGCCTGTTTGAAAGTTTATGCATATTTTGATTGACTTTAGAGACAGAGAGAGAGGGAGAGAGAGAAATATCGATTTGGAGTTCCACTGACTGATGCACTCATTGGTTGATTCTTGCACATGCCCTGACCAGGAATTGAGCTCTGCAACCTGGGCCTATTGGGAAGACACTCTGACCACTTAACTGTCCTGCAGGGTGAAAGTCTGTATACTTTAAGGCTTTCAGTAAATCTTGTCCAAGGACCCTTCACCAACAGAGCATGGGGGTCAAGTGTCTCCATTCTGGAATATGGCATTTCCCTCTCCAATATAGCACCGCTCACCCCCAGGGGGCAGGTCCAGGTCATGGGACCCACCCTCATGACGCCCTTTCTTGGTTTGCAGATCCCCTGGATACCTAGCCATGGCCTTGTTCAACAAGGCCAATTGCCAGGCAGCGATGTTAGCCCTCAACATGCTGGGATGGATCTTTACCATGGTTTCCATGGGCCTGCCTAATTGGCGCATATGGTACATAGATAGCAGCCCTGCACCCCCCTGGGGGCTGGCCTGCGTAGGGATGTGGAAGGTCTGCACTTACCAGCCCAATAGCCTCCAGAGCAGACCCATGGCGTGTCACCGCTACACCTACAGTGACGCCTACCTGCCATTGGATATCCTCCTCGCTCAACACCTGCTGCTGGCCGCCAGCTTCCTTGCTTTCCTGGGGAAAAGGTTCATTGTCATGGGCCTGCGGAGAGGGTACGCTACACAGCTTCAGAAGGACACCACCTGCGACCTGTTCTTCACTTCCAGAATGCTGAGCATCACAGCTGGTGCATTTATCTCCATCGCTGTCCTCTGTAACTACTACGCCGTGATAAATGAAGAGGCCATACACTTCCCGCCCTCCTTCCACATCCCCTACAGGCCGGACCGGCAGGAGATGGGCAGCACCGTGTATCTGGCGATTCTGGCTGCATTGCTGATGTTGTTCAGTGGGCTGTTTACCATCTCTTTCCAGCAGCCCCCCCAACAGCCAAATGTATCCCCAATCTCCCAAGTGTAAAGTTCCAGTTGCATAGCTTTGCAAATCCACGATGAGCAGTTTATGGGGGCGAAGTAACCATGAAATAGATCCAAGGACTCATGACCATGGCAAAGGTCATCTTTAGCAGCAAGTGGCCATATTCTGCTTTGTACAAATTGGGCTCATCGATTGGTTAAGGAACTTTCATTAAAAAAAATCCAAAGAAAACACCTTCCACCTGTCTTACTGAATCTGTTTTTTAATTATTATTGAGTAAACTAATGAACTGGTGCATGAAATTCATGCCCATTAAAATGGGATTAAATAGAGGAAATATTTTAATATTGCTATTTGCCATTCTCTATAATAGAAGTGTCAGAAACGAAAGAAAATTAGTAAAATGTACATGAAAATCTTCCTTCTGTCACAGTCTGGGGCACACCATGGAACCCAGAGTCAAGTCCCCACTCACCCACGTGCACCTCAAAATTGTGTGAGACCCAGACCCAGCCGGCCTTACCCCTAATTGGGCTAGATCCAGACCCAGATGGTCCCACTTTTGTCAAGCCCTGCTAGAATGGGGGTGGGGGTGCAGCGTCAGGTGCCCTGGCCTGGAGCTGGGGTGGGGGTCATGGCCTGAGGTCCCCCAGTCTGGGGCGGGGCGGGGGTAGTGGCCTGAAGTCCCCTGTCAAGCTCTGCCAGGTTGGGATATGGCCTGAGGCCCCCCCTTGAAGCCCTGCTGGGTGGGGGGCACGACCTGAGGTCCCCGTCCAGTCCCACATGGGGCGCAGCCTCAGGTCTTGCTGATTGCTCGTTATGGCTCTTTATGGGAACTCGGCCTATGCTATGGGCGCAGCCATCTTGTTTATGGAAACCCTATCTCCACTGTGGGCGCTGCCTTTGTGGTGGCGTTATGGTCAATTTGCATATTCCCTCTTTACTGTCTAATCAATGCTATATCTACTGTGAGGAAATGAGAGTGGCTGGGATTCTCACAGCTCCCTCTCAACCTCCCACAGGCCAGGGTTTCGGGCTCGATCCTCAGTGAGGGGTGTGCAGGAGGCAGCCAATGCATGATTCTCTCATCATTGATGTTTCTGTCTCTCTCTCCCTCTCCTTTCCTCTTGGAAATCAATTTAAATATATAATTTTTAAAAAGAATTAAACTATCCAGAGCGCACTTTTCAAACTGTACTGTGTGTACAAATCACCTGGGGACGCTGTTAAAATGAGATTCTGACCCAGCGCTTTTAGGTTGAGGCAGGGGATTCTGCAGTTGGTGCTGATGCTGCTGGCCCTGAACCCCACTTTGAGCCACAGGGGTCAGGAGGGCGTCTCTCCCTGTCCCCGTGTGTCAAAGCCAAGCCTGGAGGGAGGGTGCCCGCATTTCAACTGGGAGATGTTTTCATGGGAACAAATGGGATTCGCTATCGGGAGGAGGTGTGAGGTGTCTGTATGGGCATCTGCCTGGTGGAAGACACTGCCCAGAAACTGATCTCCCCCTTCTCCCCCCGCCCGCGGTGGCTTCCCAGAGAAATGAACATCCAGCTCCTCTGTCCTTGGACTTGGCCGAAGAGGCAAAGGGCTGAAGATCAGCAACAGGGTGAGGGCCACCTTTGAAGACAGCCATCGCACCTCACATTTCAGCAGTCATTCCAGTGCCGCACGTCTACTGTGTTTCCCCGAAAATAAGACATCCTCCGAAAATAAGACCTACTTACAGGTTTCCTTCTGAGTGAAATATAAGGCATCCCCCTGAAAATAAGCCCCCCCCCCCCCCCAGCTCTGTCTCAGAATGCTATTGCTAAACATGAGAGATTTGGTCCACTGATTTTGACAGAAATGGAGTCACAAGAAATTCACCAGGAAATTCAGGAATTGGATTGTTATGATGGTGTTCCAGAAGATGATGACATGATTGTCATTGAATACATGAGTAAATTCTTGATACTGTAGGATTCACAGTTTGTCTGGTTTGTGTTGACAACTACCGTACTACCGTACTGTATACAGGTAATAAATTTCCTTTATTTTCATTTAACAATAAATGTATACCGTATTCTTCATGGAAAAATAAGACATCCCCTGAAAATAAGACCTAGCGCATCTTTGGGAGCAAAAATTAATATAAGACACTGTCTTATTTTCAGGGAAACAGGGTAGGAGGATGTGCGGAAGGAAACAGGGAAAGAGAGACAGGGCCGGGATTTGCAGGAATGTATGGGCTCAGCCAGCAGGTGCGCGCGAAATGCAGGTCTTATTACCCTTCCACTAAAAACCCTTGCGAGGCTTCCAAGCTCATTCAGGGGAAAAGACAAAGTCTCAAAATTCAGATGATGCTTTCTTCCCCTCCCTCACCGCCTTTTACCCTCCCTCCACTAGCCACTCTGGCTTTCTTGCAGGTCCCTGGACATTCCAAGGATGGCCTACATCCCTGTTCTTTCCTTTACTGGGAGCCCTCTCCCCCAAGATGTCCTGTGGCTTGCTCCCCCACCTCCCTCAGGCTGCTTGGGTGCCACTGTCTCAGTGAAGTCTTCTAGAATCATCCTCTTACCACTGCAATGCTCTGTGCCACCCCAGGCTCTCCCGATCACCCCTCCATGCCGCCACCCGTCTTCCCTGCTATAAGCCTGTTACTGCTTACTCTGTGCATGACTATGTGTACATTCTGGATGAGAAGGGAAGTTTGCGTTGTTCACTGCTGTATCCTAGGGCCAGGAACAGCTCCTGACATGTGGTAGACACCAAAAATTGGTTTTGATGGAATAAATAACTAATATAACATTATTAACACGGGCCAACGAAACATTTGAATAGGAAGTCTATATATGCACTGTCTAATGACAGCTGTCTTAGTCAGTTCGGGCTGCTGTAACAAAATACTGTACTATAGACTGAGAGGCTTAAACAACAAATTTCTCACAGTTTTGCAGGCCGGGAAGTCCAAGATCAAGGCGCTGGCAGATTTGGTGTCTGGTAAGGGCTCTCTTCCTGGCTCATAGACAGTTGTCTTCTTGAATCCTTACCTGGCAGAGAACAGAGAGTAGTAAGCTCTTTTATGACCCTTATAAGGGCACTAATCCCATTGATGAGGGCCCCTCCCTCATGACCTCATCTAATCCTAATCACTTCCCAAAGGCCCCGCCTCCTAATCCCATCACATCAAGAGGTAGGATTTCAACCTGTGCACTTGGGGGGCACACAAACATTCAATCTTTAACAGTTGCCATTAGTCCCACTGAGTACTTGAAATATATCCAAACTGATATATTTGTGGGAGGAAGGACAGAGAGAGAGAGAGAGAGAGAGAGAGAGATATGATATGAGAGACATTACCAATTAGTTGCCTTCTGCACGCACCTGGACCATGTCTGGGGCTCCAACCTGCAACCTAGTTACAAGCCCTTAACTGGAAAGCAAACCCGAGTCCCTTTGGAGCATGGGGCCCATGCTCTAACCACTGTGAAACTCTGGCCAGGGCTACACGCTGGATTGTTTGTTTGTTATCCTCACTGAGGATGGTTTTCCATTGATTTTTGAGAGAAAGTGGAAGGGAAGGGGAGAGAGAGAGAAGCATCAATGTGAGAGAGGCACACCAATTGTTCTAGATGGAGCCTGCAACCGAGATACCCGTGGCTGGAATCGAACCTGGGACCCTTCAGCCTGCTGGCCAATGCTCCATCCACTGAGCCAAACTGGCTAGGGTTACACTCTGGATTTTAAAGACTTAGTGCAAAAGAAAAAGATGTCAAATATCTCATAAATCCTCTTTTAATATTGATTACTTGTTGAAATAACATTTTGGGTAGACTGGGTTAAATAAATCTATTATTTAAATTATGTAATTTTCATCTGTCTCCTTTTACTTTTTTAACTGAGTTACTAGAAAATTTAAAATGATGCTCACATTACATTTCTCTTTTGCCCCCTGAGTGTGGCTCTTCCACAAAATACCACGGCCTGGGCGAGTCTATGTTAAAGAAGTGGCGTTAGAAGAATTTTAAGTTTTAAAAATGTGGCTCTCCAAAGAAACTTCAATCGTTGTGCTGTTGATATTTGGCTCTGTTGACTGATGAGTTTGCCGACCACGGGCCAATAGAGTGCTAAGCTCTCTGCTATCTTCACCACTCACATGGGCAGCCACATATAGAAGCAGGAGGCCTGCTGTTAGTGAGTTTGTGTGGCTGAAAGAAAAAGAAACATTGAGAGATTAACTGAAACTTGGCCCTCCTTCCACAGTTATCAAAATACTGCTCATGGCTCAGAGAGGATGGATGGGTTGGTGGTAAACCCGTGTCTGCAAATATGAAGTTTATGGAGATATATCTGCAGTTAGCTGCACATATTCAACACATCTGGCCGCACTTCCACACACGCTGCATGAATTAACCTATTATTGAAAACATTGTTGATTAGCAACTTACTCAAAGAACCTTAACTAGATAGTTTCCATATAAAATCGGATATAAAGAAATCTAGATGGATCCTAACCTGCTTAGCATCCATCATGATCACATCTACCTGTATTCCTTTCAATGGTAGAAAAACAGAGGTGTGGTTACTTTTTATTCCTTAAACAAAATATTTGTACCAGGCACAGTTCTGGCTATTGGGGATACAGCTATGCAAAAACAAAAACAAAAACAAAAAAACAGATAAAAATTCTTGCTCTCATGAAACTTTCCTCAAGTAGAGCAGGCAGATAATAACCAGTAAATTAAAAAAGTTTATCACCCGGCCAGCATGGCTCAGTGGTTGGGCATCAACCTATGAACCAGGAGGTCACGGTTAGATTCCTGGTCAGGGCACATGCCCGGGTTGTGGGCTTGATCTCCAGTAAGGGGCATGCAGGAAGCAGTCAATCAATGTGTCTCTCTCATGGATGTTTCTCTCTCTCCCTCTCCCTTCCTCTCTGAAACCAATACAAATATATTTTTAAAAAGAAAGAAAGTATATCGAATGAGTTACCAGTAATGTGGAGAAACTACTGCAGGGGCAGGAGCATAGGGAGTGCTGTGGTCGTGGGGAGGGGCTGCACCGGGAAGCAGGAAGGCCTAGGCCTCTTTGGTGAGCGATCTCACAGCTGCCCGGCTTGGCAGGAAGGGCCTGCCAGGGAGAGGGAATGGCATATGCACAGGCCTGGAGGAGGGAGGACCCAAAGATGGAAAAGTGGCTCCGAGTACAATGGGG